AATAAATTATTAAAATTAAAACTAACTTTTATTTTTTATGTAATTTAATAATTAAAAAGTAAATTAATTGACTTCTTAATTTATGTTTTTAAAGCACAAGTTTTAAATGGTTAAATGTCATTTTTAATTTTAAATATTTTTAGTTTTTTAATTATTTTTTTTACTTTTTTCATCTTGGAATTATAAAAAAATATACTAAGTTTAGTAATTGGAAATGTACATATATGCACAAAATTAATAGATAATATTGATAGAAAAATTAAAAAACATATTTTTTATAGTTTAAAAATATCTAACAGATAGTTTAAAGATTAAAAATATTCAAAATTAAAAATTTAAAAACTTAAAATAACATTTAACCTTAAACCCCCCTTTTAGTTTCTAGGTAAAAGCTAGTTATGTCCCTTTCTCGACAAGAGTTTTGTCAATTTAAGTTTTCATTAATTTTAAAATGGATAGTCATTGGTACACACTCTGATTCAACATACTGCATGTATATTTATTAAAAAAACACTATTTTTTAGTCTGAAATTAAAGGCAAACAAGTTTGATAATATAATCATATACACAGGATACAAGAATCGACTGAATTGATTGTATTTATATTATATTTTTAATGACTAAACTAGAAGGTGTTGTTAAGTGTGTTGAATTAGAGGGTGTACTAATCATTTTTTTTTTAAAATCTTGATATGAGAAATCAAGGTTATCAAGGTTTAAATCCATGTAATACAAAATAACTCGAAAATTTTCAAATTTTAAGTCCCTTTTAACAAGTAAATTGGAAGGCAAAATACCCAAATCCACTCCCAAAATATAGTGGTAGGGACAGATCCACCCTCAAACGAAAAATAGGGATAAATTCACCCACAAAATTTTTGACTTAGATAAATCACTTCAAATTTAATGTGTGACATCATCTAATATCAGCAATCTATTAATGAATCAGCAATCTATTAATGAATTAACGGATTGCTAACATCAGATGACGTCAAATTAACAGATTACTGATGTTAAACTACGTTACATGTTAAATTTGAGATGATTTGTCAAAGTCGAAAACTTTATGAGTTGATTTGTCTCTGTTTTTTTATCGGGGATAGATCCGTCCCTACCACTATACTTTAAGGGTGGATTTGGGTGTTCTGCCAAATTAAAAAGTTCATTTATATTCAGAGAACCACATACTGTAGCATTTAGGAGCTCTCATTCTTTTAGGAAAGAGTTGCAGTTAAAGCAGAGTTGTTTGCAATCTACGAAGGACTGGAACAACAACGAAGGGGTTGGATCAAGTGGTAAATGGCTTGTTCCAGCTTAAGTAAGGTCTTGAGTTGAAGACCTTGTGTACACAGTAACCTTTGTTGGGAGACTCACCCACCATTTCTAGGTGTGTGACGTGGGTTGATCCGGATTAATCGAGGCGAAGTCCCGAATACCGGACAAGAAACCAGAAAAAGAAGGACTGGAACTTGCATGAGACAAAGGGTTCTGACAGGTTTCCGTGGAGACAGACTCCTTATTGGCTTCACATAAGCTTGCTGCGCCGGAAGATTGTGATGCACTCTCTTTTTTGATTCGTAAATGCAAGGAATATATTTACATGCTTACATCGTGACTGGAGATGTGAAATCAGACATGTTTTTCATGAAGCGAATTATTGTACAGATGCCATGGCATATCAAGACTCTACCATCTTGATTTTGTGAAGGGATTCCATTATTTTCAAGAACCACCAAAAATTTTGCGAAATAATGTGAATAATTATTTTCTAAGAATATGCAGGTCAAGCCAATGACCTAAATAGTTTAATGACTTTTTTTGTTGGAAATAAAAAATTTTAAATTTGAATTATATAATATACGAGTAGAGTGTAATAAAAAATAAAAAATAATTACCTCTTATTATGTAATTAAAAAAAAAAAAGAATATGTACACTAAGAGCTTATGTGTGTGTGTATATATATATACATCGAGTACTTAGTACTGCCGCTTGCAGGGTAAAAAAAAAAGAAGAAAGAAAGAAAGAAAGATAGAAGTGGATGGAGACCCATTTCTCACATTTAAGAGATATAGTTACATAACCAATATCTTAAATAGTTTATCTATAATATCTTTTTATTGAAAGAAAGAAGTTATAAAATTAAATTATATAATATGTAGATATAATAAGTTAAAAAATAAAAAAATTATTTTTTATTATGTAATAAAAAAATAAAATTAAAAAAATCTAATAGAGGACATTAAATCAATAAAGTAATATTAGCAACCTATTTAGACACATTAATAATATGTAAATTTATAAATGTAACGTAAAATGTTAAATAGTCAAACAATAATTACATACAGGCAAAGCGCTGCTATAATTAATAAACTCAAGTAGTTAAAACTTAATTTATTGGTGTGAGTTGTCTTGCTGAGCTTTTTTTCAGTCATTAAAAAATTTTTTTAGTCATTAAATTTTTTTTTTAAGGTAATCCACGTTGCATACATATTAATTAGTGAAATAAATAAAAGAATATGAGAAAATATTGCTTCTCAGTAGATAAAAAATAATTGTTAATTCTGAACTTGACCCTCTGGGCCAAGGCTACTCTTATAAGGTTTACATCCCCTTTTCCTAAGACAACGGTTCGAGCTGATCCCATGACAAAATGTTCAAAAAAAAAAAATTGTTAATTCTAGTTTGAATGACCCAGTTATCCATCATATGTATATATATATATATTGACAGTCCACATGTATTATGCTATGAGAATTACCTTTTAATCATTTAAAAGCTGAAAAAT